GACAAACAGAACTCCTTGTAACACCAAAGATGAACTGAAGGCAAGGATTATGACAGCATTCACCAATTTAAACAAAGAAGGCCGTCCAGAATAGTTGCAGGAGATTCCGATGTCGTCTGGATGCCGTGGTTGAAGCCGATGGTGATTTTATTGAATAAACTAACTCATTAGTATTTCAAGATTTTTTTGTGCAATTTTGGTAAATATATCTGTTAAAGTGAGGTGTTAGAGTTATTTTTATTTTTTGCGCAGTTTAGACGACAATTTACTTATCGCACCCTGTATATGGGTGTCTATTTTATGAACTTTACACACCTGTATACGCATTTGGGACGAAAGTTTTTTTTTGTTTTCGTTTTTGTTTTTGTTTTTTGGCAATTGTATTAGCTTTGAACCCCCTTCAACACACACAATGTAGACTAGTTTTTGTTGTTTTTGTTGTTCGTTTACCTGCTTCAGGTGTTGAAAATATTTCATAAGCTTTCTATCCTTTTTTTTCTTTTCTTGCTTTTGTGCGCTTACTGGAATGACATATTTAGATGTTTAGGGAAGGCTGCGGAAGTACGCCTCAAAACATGTTGCAATTATGGTCAACGTGTCTTGTCGGTGAAAAAGAACTGAAGAACAAAAAGAAAAAGAAAAAAATCCTTGATAACTGGCCAGGTGATGGTATGTTCAAATCAGGGATGATAACTCGTCTAAAAAAACAAAAAAGAAATTCATAGAATTCGAATATAAAAAGAAAATCCAAACAGAATTATCATAAAACCCGGGGAAGGCGGGTCTTTCGTGATTCATAACGGAGTCAACGGGCCAGGAATCAGGTTTACATTTTACATTTTTATTTACAGGAAGAAGAAATCGATATTCTCGTTCGGGGCAGGGTTTGCACGGGTAAGTCAAGTCGTTACCGTACGATTCAACTCCGTTATTACTTTGTCTCCTCTATTTGAGGTATTGAACTAAAAATTCTTTGGGTCTAGTCACTGGAACTAACCAAAGTCTTTATCCAATAGTGAGTTCAATACCAGGCCACAACAGTCGTGAACTATAAACTTGGAGAGTTGAGTTAAAGGGAAATTACAAAGTCACCCGGAAGAGGCATGGCACGTGGAACTAGAACAATCTACCCCGGTGGACGAAATAAAGTGTTCAGTTCGAAATTCCAATCACCTGAAGAAGGCTGGAGCGTACAACGGCCGCAACGTTGTGAATATGGCAATGAAGATGAGGATAACAGTTAGAATAATGTAAATAATGCAAGTAATCATTATACCTTATCTCAGAGATATTCCAATCACCTGAAGAAGGCCGGAGCGTACAGCGGCCGAAATAAAAACACTGTGCGAGATTTTCAACGAGTTTCAGTCTTAGTAACTGATAAACGAAATAAGGCCACATTGCTCGTCCGTTCGTTGGCCTAATCTGGTTTATTTAACTAATTTTTGTCGTTTAATATGACATGTGGATAGAACCGTAGCAGACGACGGAAAATGTTATACAGAAAACTGATGGTGCATAGGAATAGCAAAAGATGCCTTCCAGAAACTAATGAAAGTATTAAGAGATGGGAAAATATTATTAGAAACAAAGAAAAGAATGCAGAAGAGCATTGCAATATATAATCTGGCAGCAAATGGCGGACACTCGCTTTAGAGATGAAGAAGAGACTTAAAATGAACAGAGAATGCAGAGAATACCATGGACAACAGACTGTGAGGAACGAGAAAATTTAAGGAAAAGAACTATAAGGAAAATGATACTAAAAGTCAGAAAGGGACATAATGGGGAAGGTGGGTATAGAGAATCTAACACTTACAGGATCTACGAAAAGCAAGAGAAACAAGAGGAAACAGCAATCGATTTCGTGTGAGTGGCTGGCTGAACAAGGTTAAACTAAACAAAGGATGTTGTAGAGAGCTACGATCGCCAAAATCTTGAAAGGATATTGCATGTAAAAGAAGAATATTCCCTGCTCAGAAGTGACTGATTATCGATAAGTCCTTGTTCAAGAGGTCGTAAATTATCGAACACAATTTGAGAAACTGTCTATATTTCTGAGATGAGGTATTATGTACACTATTTACATTATTCGGACTATTGTTCTCATTTATTGTCGCCATATTTATCACGTTTCGGCCGTTGTACGCTCCGGCTTTCTTCGGGTGGTTGGAATGTCGAACTGAACACTTTATTTCGCTCACTGGGATAGAGTTATCTCCTGTTAATTCCCCTCATTGTTGCTTTGATCAGTAAAACAATGGCCCGCTCTCCTGTAAGAGATGAATCTACAAATTTCGAGTAGCGAGTCTATTTTCTCTGGTAGAAGAATAAATACCAAAATAGTTAGTATTGCTCTAGAATGCCATCTTGTATTACTTAAATAAGGTATTTTTTGAAACTTCACTTTAGGAAATCTTCCAGTTTCTTCGAAAAAAATAATAATAATTTACCTCTCGTCCCTCAGCATAACGCGATCGAGTTTTGATGGGTGAATGGGGGGGGGAGGGCATAAGCAGTTTTTTCATTCTTTTGTTCGCTTCTATTATTTCTTTTTTTTAATTTCGTATTGCCAACTAACGTGTTTGTTTTCCCTTTTTGTCATTTTTAATTATGTCTGTTTTGTTTTTTGTTTGTTTTTTTTTGTTTTTTTGTTTTGGTGGGGGTTGTTGTTGCTATAATTAATTCATATCGATAGTTTCATCTGAGCAATAACATGTCATAACAAAATTTGTATAGCAGTTTGAAAATAGAAATTATAGAAAGAAAGTGTTATAAGCGGTGAAAAAGAAAGCTAATATCAGTTAAAGTGACGGAGGTCATCCCAGTAATCAGAGGAAAACTATGAACGATCGAATTATAACACCTAGTTAGCTAGATGCGTGTTCCTCTTTGTCGTAGTTATATAGTCACACTTAATCTCCATATAGATATTTTCTTGGTACTATATAGTTCTACAGTAACTCTACAGGAAATGAGTGTCGGAGAGTAACTCTACAGGAAATGAGTGTCGGAGAGTAACTGTACAGGAAATGAGGGTAGGAGATGTCTCTTAATCGGTCCTTTAGTCCTCTTATACGAGCAAGCTTGTCCCGGTGTCTGAGGTTTCCAACTCTGCTGCTTCGATGCCTGGGTAACAACCTCGTTCACCAACTCTCTACTTTGAATGGCTCTTGGGCCTTGTATTGTGTGAAAATAAACACACACACACACACACACACACACACATATATATATATATATATATATATATATATATATTTCGCTCACTGAAGTAGACTGTTCAGGTTCCACGTGGCATGTCTAATGGATGTACTGTTAATTCCCCAAGGACACATGGCACAGTGGATAAAAAAAGCCTTAGTTAGATCCAGTGACAGGACCCAAAGAGTGTGAGTTCAATACCAGGTTAAGGCAGTGGAGAAATTTCAGAGGGGAATTAACAGGAGATAATTGACATCCATTAGACATGGCACGTGGAACTAGAACAGTCTACCCCAGTGAATGAAATAAAGGGTTCAGTTCGACATTCCAACCACCTGAAGAAGACCGGAGCATACAACGGCCGAAACGTTGTAATAAATATGGCGACAAAGATGAGGACACTAGTCCGAATAATGTAAATAATGTTCACTTCTTATTTACTTTCTGGATGCACGTGTAGTCTGATGGTTATCAGTGCAAAAAGTGGAATTGACGTGCCGAGTTCGAGTCTGTTTCGATCACTCAAACTAATGCCTTTGGAAAAGGTATGAATCCATCTTTCTCCAACTGTGGGAAGTGACAGTGGATTCTCTTGCCTTGGGTGGCAGTCTAATAAAAGTAAAACCTTGAATTCAAACCCCTATTGTATTGTGGGTATCGGGTGAAGTAAACCCTACACAAATCCGGATAGGGGCCCGCACCACCTTCTGGCATTTCTTGTAGTTTCACCAGTACTAAACAGCATTTGTTTATCATTTTATTTGGGCCCTAGCAGCACCATGAGGAGGGTGATCTTGACATTTGAGCAGCCCAGTATCTCTATAACCCCTTCCCAGCCCCTTAGAGCTCTAACGCTCACAGACTGATGCCAACGCGACACAACGCAGCCATTAATTTGTAAACTTTCCAGGGTAATTTGATGTATTTACCTCTATTATTGATGGTTTTGTTACGCCATTATTATAATTCATGCGTTTGCTTGTTCACGCAAGATAACGGGGGGGTAACTGTAAATTGAGTGACTGCAAGTCTCCTCAAATTTCCTACACTTTCCCCATTATCCTTACACATCTTAATGCTGCAGTCATCTGTACAGTTTTAGTTATCCTAATATCTATTTTTTCTTATTTCTACGCCATTTGATACAGTTTCAAGGGCGCTAATTCGTACATCCAGAGATTTTTCAGTTACCGGACGAAGTCCTGGTATATTTCTAATTTTTCCCTTTTTTCCATCATCATCCTATAGTGCACCAGCTCTGCCACGTCTACCATTTGGCAGATCTTCTTTCTGTTTTGTTTTGGGGTTTTTTTATGACCATTATGTATAAATATTCTTGCTTGAGGTAAAATCGTTGGACTGGATATCAGAATTCCAGAGTATTATATTTATTTTATTTTCTTAGACAGTCTCTAATGAGTTATACTATTTGTTTCCATGGCTGAACACTCGTCGTTTCCATAGCTCACACCGTTCCAACTCTGCTTTAACTATTTTTTGTATTTCTTTTGAGTCAACTTGCTGCATTTGCTTATAATATGCATTTCTCCCTAAAAAAAAAAAGACATTTGCTATTTTTGTCTGTTTCGCCATAATTGTTATTAATACTTTTTCCGGACTGCATCGATAAGGAATTTCGTTTAACTTTTCATGTGTCCTCTGCGTAACCATTTTCGTGTGTGATAGTCGTGCCTAGTTTTTAAATTATTCACAGGAATTTCTTTTCTCCATGTTGCTTTCCTGTATCTGTTGGTATTTTTTTTTTATCTTTGGCTATACCGCTGCAAGCAGTTTTCATGTTTTCAATCTTCAGTTATGTGCATTTTGCAAAGTTTTGGTCGTCTGTACACAGTTCACGATTAAGTTTATTTTCTTTTTTCTTTCATTTTACATCGGATCTGTCTGATTTATTTCTGGGTTGTAGTCTATTTCGAGTTAGTCTATCTGTTTTTCTCCAGTCACGATAAACGCTTTTACTCTCAATGAGGCTCCATGCCTTGAACGTCTATTGAGTCTTAAGTTCACTCAAAATCTCAAGTTGAACTCATATATTCGAACCAATGATGCTTGAAAACTGGTCAGCTCATTCTATCGCTCCAGAAATGACCTGACTTCTTTATCTTTACAAGGATCAGATAAGATCAAACATAAAGTACCTGCTGCCATCAGTATGGCTGATGCTAATCTCCAAGAGAGCAACACACTACGCTTTCTTGGCCTCACGTTTTCCACTAACATGAAGTGGAGTGATTATATCGAATCAACTGCTTCGTCTGCTGCAAGGAAATTTGGTTCACCATGTCATGTCGGAAATTTTTTCTCATCAGAATCCATCTTGCACATTTATAAATCTATCATTCATCTGTGCATTGAATGCTGCTGCCATATCTGGTCTGGTGCTCCTGCTGTACATCTCTAGATTCTTAACAAAATCCAAAGAAGAATCTGTAATGTTATTGGTCCTGACCAGGCATATAAACTTCAGTGTCTTTCTCGCCGATGTAACGTTGCTTCCCTCTGTTTTTTTGGGTTTTTTTGTTTTGTTTTTTTTTAAATATTTTCATGGTAAGTGTTCTGATTAGCTTTTCCTCTGGTGCCCCGAATACATGAATTTAAGGGTGCAATTAGGTCCCATAGTTTTACTGTTGAAATACTTAAATGCAACCGCCACTTCTACTTTAACAGTTTGTTTTTTCGCACTTACCACCTATGGAATTTCCTTCCGATTTCTTGCTTCTCTGATAACTACAATTTTCAAAAGATTAAATGCAACGTCAATCGCCATCTTCTGGTTTCTTGAAACCTGTTCCTTTTATGGCCTTCCCTCAATCCACCCCATTATCAAACTTCTCATTCTCTTTCACTTTCACTCCCTGTAATCTCACTGCGTTTTAGCGGCATTACCGCCTTGCTTGAGGTGAAATGATTAAAAAAAGAGTTCTGGGCTGGAGCTGCTCACACACACACACACACACACGCACGCACGCGCACACACACACACACACACACACACATATATATATATATATATATATATATATAAACGTCTTGCATTATCGCTTATATATATATTCTCTTTATCTTTTGCGTTTTATATTTTCCTTACTGAATAAATCTCTTGAGTACATGTCAGTCCTTACAGTCATTAATTTGGATCGGAGCATTTATTTTGTCGTAAACTGAAAACGGTTTTGAGAGATTTGACGGTGTTGCTTGGAAAAATAAATTAAGACAATAAAAGAAAGAAAATTGGAAAATATCACAGATGGAGTGAAGGGAAATACAGACACTGGGCGTGGAAGAATTGTGACACCTAAAATGGCGATATTACTTGAAAAATAAAAATCACTCTATTAAATTCATTTTTGGCTTTTTTCGTTGAAATGTGACATGTTGTTTTTTGTTTGTTTCAAGGAAGGATTTCAAGTTAATCCCTTTATTTTCAGACAAGTCAAACACTTGAGATACGTCATGAAAAAGTGTAATGCTAATGTATTTAATTGTGTCGTCTGCTAAATAAGAGATAAGTTTCTTCCTTTTTTATCGCCTCTATTTTTTCGTCTTTGTTTTGTCTTATAGTTATTTACTTTAATTTACTAAATTGGTACGGTTAAACGAAGAAAGTTTCTTTTCAGCCAGCCTTCCAAATTGAAAATCAGTTTTAACGGGGTATTGAACTCACACCCTTTGGGTCCTGTTACTGGATCTAAGTAACGCTTTTATTCACTGTGCCATGGTTAAGGCAGTGGAGAACTTGAAGAGGGGAATTAACAGGAGATAAGTGATAACTGACATCCATTAAACATGGCACATAGAACTGGAACAGTCTACCCCAGTGAGCGAAATAAAGGGTTCAGCTCAACATTCCAACCACCTGAAGAAAGCCAAAGAGTATAACGGCCAAAACGTTGTAATAAATATCACGACAAAGATGAGGACAATAGTTCGAATAATGTAAATAGTGTACATAATACCCCATCTCAGAAATATAGACAGATACTGAAAGACCGAAACGTGGTGATAAATATGACGACAAAGATGAGGCAATAGTTCGAATAATGTAAATAGTGTACATAATACCTCATCTCAGAAATATAGAGAGATACTGAAATGCCGAAACGTTGTGATAAATATGACGACAAAGATGAGGACAATAGTTCGAATAATGTAAATAGTGTACATAATACCTCATCTCAGAAATATAGACAGATACTGAAATGCCGAAACGTTGTGATAAATATGACGACAAAGATGAGGACAATAGTTCGAATAATGTAAATAGTGTACATAATACCTCATCTCAGAAATATTGACAGATGCTCTTTCAACAATCGCCATTAATACATCAGTAGTTGAACTTCTTTTTCTTCTTCTATGTGCTGCATCTCTTCAGGACTTTGGTGATCACGATTTTCTGTCCTTTGTAATTCTAAGTAAATTTTGTGTTTTTGTTATATTTCCTAAATCCTATTCTGCCAATCATTTACGCATGCTAGTAAGAAAAGTTATGCCCTTCCTTCAATTTCAAATTTTCGAAGCCCTCTATCCTCATTATGTGCCCTTGAAATGTCAACTGTCTCATTCTGATGTCAATTATAACTCGCTTTTTTGTTTCCATTTTCTAAGCGAAAGCCTTATTGCTTGTTGAAAAAAAACCCTGCGCGGTAAGATGCTTAACCAACCCGGAGTTGATTAGAGCATCTAGTAATTTACCAAAAAGAGGTAGAAAATAGGTTGGAAAGACAGAAAGATCAGACGGTTCGTCTGAGTTCTTAAATACTTGAACTATAGAAGAGGATTTCCAACAGGCAGGAAAACAAGAAGTAGCAAAATATTTATTGTAGAGTTTACAGAGAACAGGATTCCAGTTTAGGAACACGTTTCTTAAGGACTGTTGTATTATCAAGTCTATGAGTGTTGTGGGGATCCAGTTTAGAGATGATAGCTGAAAACATGGACAAAGTTATATGCATATCACACAGTAGAGTCTCAGTTCTAAGTGGAAAGTCAGGCAAAGATATTCCAGACGAATCAAGGGAAGAATTGGAAGAGAATTTACGAGAAAAGCATTCTGCTTAGAATCATAAAGAAAAGAGATCTGGAAGAATTTGACAATCACAGGACTTACTGAAGGCAAAGAGAGACAAGAGGAAAGCTAGCTAACGAGCCTGTGTAAATGGTTAGCAGAATAAGGTTTAGAAGAGATAGAAAAAATCAAACATTACTAAGAGCTACAAAGGGCAGGAAGTTGTGGAGAGCCATGATCATCCACGCCCTGAAGAGACACGGCATATAGAAGAATTCATCAGTAACAGATATTGGGTGGATTATGTTCTATTCGGGTAACCAGTATCTCTTACTTTCAAGTAAATTACTTTACCAGTAAGAAATTTTGTGCCATATTTTTTATTTGGAGGTGTTTTGTGACTGCAAAATCTAAAAGGCTCTTTACTTCCCGTTCCGACAATTTTTTTCTTAATTCTCGCCATTTAGTTTCTTGTACATTTTGCTTATTTCTTCATGTTTCTTTTTCTTTCTTAAAAAACAAATAAAAATATTTTTGTCAACAATACAAATATATTTCTTATATGATCATAAGTGATTATACATATGTGTGCCTGTCTAATGTAGTTTCTATGTGTGTTTCTGTCTGTGAACTTGACATATGATTTTGGAAACAGAAATCTGTTTTTATTCTGAAGACAAAAGTGTTCGGTTTTATATTTCAATTTCTTTCTTATCAAGTTCGTATTTTTTATTCCCACATCCCACCACTTCAACCCAATGATATTTTTTGAAGACAAATCTTCCATTTTTTTTTCTTTTTTCCATTTTTCTTTTTTCGCTTAAATATATGTTCGTCTTCCTTTTCTTTTTTTTTCCCTGTCTTTTCTGGTTTTCTTTTAGCCATCAGTTTTCTTCCATTTCTACATTCCCCAGACGTTACGTTAACATCAGACTGGGTTTTGTCACTGAGCGAGACGGCACAAAATTAAAGTAGATGTACCTATTTCCAGAGGGTTCCAATACAGTAGCAATATCTCCCCATTGCACTAAAGGGAAGAGCAAAGGAACTTTCAAGCGCCTTAACCAAAAGAAACTGACCAAAAGAGACTGGCCAATTTTTGCTTCCACTCATGCACACGCGAATAGAAGCCTACATTAATCCTAACCTGGTGTCATATTTGCCATCCTGTGAAATATAACACAAATACAGTATCTTCTTCTCCTTATTTCTTTTAACTTTCTTTCTTTAGCTCTACTTCTTTCTTTCTTTCTTTCTTTCTTTCTGTCTTTCTTTCTTTCTTTCTTAATTCCACACTTTTTCTTTCTTTCTTTCTTTCTTTCTTTCTTAATTCCCCAGTATTTCTTTCTTTCTTTGCTTACTTACTTATTTGTCATTCTTTATATTATTTCTTTCTTTTGTTCTTATTTCTCTATTCTTTCTCTCGTTTTCCACTATTTCTTTTTTTTACTTACTTATTTCCCATTCTTTATATTCTTTCTTTCTTTTTTCTTATTTCTCCACTCCTTTTTTATTCCTCTTTCTTTCTTTCTTATTTTCACACTCTTTCTTTCTTTTCCGACTATTTCTTTCTTTCTTATTTCCACACTCTTTCTTTCTTTCTTTCTTTCTTTCTTTCTTTCTTTCTTTCTTTCTTTCTTTCTTTCTTTCTTATTTTCACACTCTTTCTTCCTTTTCCTACTATTTCTTTCTTTCTTTCTTTCTTCCTTCCTTCCTTCCTTCCTTTCATTACTTACATATTTCTCATTCTTTATATACTTTCTTTCTTATTTTCGTATTTTTTCTTTCTTTTTATTTTCCCGCTTTTTAATTTTTCAACTCCTTTCTTCGATTCCTTGATTTCTTTTCTTTAAAATGGCCCAAAAAGTTGGTTTCCAGCTTTTTTTTTCTTGATTCTTGCCCTATACTATTCCTCATCTGCCAACCACATCCTCACTCTGCTTACGCTAATTCTTTTTTTTTTTTTTTCACTCATCTCACTGTCTCTCCCCCCATCTCTTACTCTGTTTCTCCGCCTTCATTCTACCTCTGTCTCGTGGTAAACACATTTGCCAGATGTAACTTCCTTCATTTTTTTTTCAGTTCCCCTCTGGAGAACGTCCTTGATTTACTGGAAAGATAGCAAAGATAAAGACTTACATGGACAGCGGATGAAATTAGTTCACTCTCTAATAAACTAGGCCAGGTTTTTTTTTTAATCTCCTTTCAATTCTACTATTACACTTTCTACTATTACTACTACTGTTACGCTTTTAATTTACTTCTACTTTTGAAGCCTACTGAATCTGGACTGATATCTCTACAACTGTCACAGTTATTTCTACGAATAGTACCATAATTACGACTATATCATTAAATGTACGAAACGTTCTACTCTGTGTTCACTTACGTCTGGTTTAAATTCTGGTCATATTTGATCACCAATTTTATGTAACATTCTGCTGATCAGAATCAAGAGGGAAAATAAAATCTGCACGTTGGCTTTTAAGGGAATGAAAGAGAGAGAGAGAGAGAGAGAGAGAGAAAAGAACATTTTTGCGACAGACCAACTCAATGATCCTTCCGTCAGATATTATCATGCAAGTCAAGATTTTCATATTAAAACTGATATTGCCCATCCAATGTTGGCCAATTTTTTCAAGATATACTTCTCACCTGGCACATGCTGCAGAAGTATCAAAAATATTAAGCCCAAGCCCGAGGATGGGAGGGTTCTTTCCACCAGGCAGTACCTCTCCTTCGAGAGGAGACCGGGTTTATCACCCGTTGCCTGAGGTGTCCCTAAAAGGGGAAGTACCGAAGGTGTTGGACATTTTTTCAACGGTATTGCCGTTAAATCCACTTCAAACCACAACCTTATGTCACGTAGGGTAGAGATGTGAGCGCGATGAAAAATTACCTTATATCTGTCTATGTGCCGTATCCCTTCAGGATGTTGGCGGTCATGACTCTCCTCAATTTCCTGTCCTTATTAGATCTTAATAAATTAAATATATCATACTACTGACAACTCTTTTCTTCCTTATTTACAATGTACAATATACAGAATGAATACAGAAACTTGCTAAACACAATGTAAAATTCAAGAGTAAAAGCATCAAATTACAATTGTAAATGCTCATGTTACTATGACGTCTTTCAATTTTGTGAACGATATTAACAGCTGGCTTTCATTGATAACATAATAATTACACAATAATAGCATCTTCTATTTCGTTCAAGTATTAATTAATAAACTTCCATCCAGAATACAATAGCTGAGTTTTATCTAACTAATGTGTGTCGATTTATTTAACTTTACAGTCAGGTTCGTTCTTTGTCTATTATTTCCATGTTATTTCAGTAGAGACTCTTGACTTTTTTTGCAGTCAATCCATTGTCTATAGTTCTCGATTTTGTTGTTTCACCATGAACTGGGGATGTGCAGGTGGTGTAATGGATAGAGTCGAGTTCAAATTCCAGTCGAGTTCGTTGTAGTCCTTTATGCGAAAATACAACTGGGAAAAGAAGAATCACTTTAATGTACAAAAAATTGTTAATGCAAAATAATCACTCGCGAACTAAATGAATTATTCTTACATTAAAAAAATAACCAAAAAAGAGTTGATAAGCCGTAAAAACAAATCTGACAAAGTATTCAATATAGGAAAAGAATAGAGATCATAACCTGCAAAATAGATGTACGCTAAGCATGTCATATGTTGAAGGTAGAAGATTTACTAATGTAAAATTCAAGGGTAAAACCATCAAATTACAATTGTAAATACTCATGTTACTCTGACGTCTTTCAATTTTGTGAACGATATTTACAGCTGGCTTTCATTTATAACAATAATTACACAATAATAGCATCTTCTATTTCGTTCAAGTATTAATTAATAAACTAAGCATGTCATATGTTGAAGGTACAAGTTTTACCAATGGTTTTGCTGTTCGTTGAAATGCCCGCCATTCAGCAAAGCAGTAACCACATGCAAATTATACAAAATACTTCCACTTCCTTTGGTATTATCTTCCGTCAATTGCAGTAGATAATTCCTTCTTCTATGGCCATGTTTCTTCAGTTTGTTGGCAGTCATGGCTCTCCACAATTTCCTGTCTTTTGTAGCTCTTAGAAAATTTTCTCTTTTTGTTATCTCTCCTAAACCCTGTTTTTCTAATTATTTACACAAGCTCGTTAGGCAGGACGTATGTGCTGTTTTCCTTTGTCTCTCTTGCATTCAGTATGTCCTGTGAGTGTCAAATTTCCCATACCCTCTTTCCTCATTATGTGCCTTAGAAATTTCAACTCTCACTTTCTGATTTTAACTATAAGTGTGCTTTTTGTTTCCATTTTCTCAAACTTTGTTGTTGCTTACATGTTCAGTCTATGGTATTCTTAGCATCCTTCTGTAGATTTTTGTTGCTTCCACGTCTGGATGTCATCTTTTGTTATCCCAATTCATCTTCGGATTTCAGTGTCACACTTTCTGTCCTTTGTTAAAACACTTCCCAGATTTTTTTTTTTTTTTATTTATTTATTTTTTGCTTGTTTGATTTTAGTATCTCCAATTTGCAATTTGCATGTTGGGCTGTTCGTTTTGCTGACAACTTCGTCTTACGATTGATGTTTAGTCCTTTATTGGCATGAAAAAGAATGGTAACAATCAGTTCTCCAATCAATCGTTTTTGGGTTGTTTTTTTTTTTTTGTTTTTTTTTTGGGGGGTGAGAAAAATCAGTAATGAAAAACCCGCACTGCAAAACCTTGTGTTTCAACAGAAATTTATCTTCATACTATTCCTCAAAACTTCGGCTGCAGACTCTGTGGCAAGACACATTTGTTGGGTATTGTCTCCATCATCTAGCAGGGTTGATGAAATCAAAGTCAACAACATTATTATATAACCGTCAAAACCTTTTCGTTTTAAGTTGTGGTATTCGATTCGGCTGACAACGAGTAATCTTTATTTTTATTATGTTCTTGTTGTCCCTAATGATGATGTTGATGATGATGATACAGGTGCTGCTGCTGCTATTCCGTGCCATTCTGCAGTTTACAGCGCAATCTCATTCCCACCCTCTAATATTCTCTACTACTCACACTTAAACCAATCTCCTTATAAGTAACGGAAAAGACGATGACTATAAGAAATTCCCAGAAACCGATTCTTAATGAAGAATTCACATATGAAGTGAACGAGTAAAACAAACTCTTGAATGAACGAATTTATTAACCGATTTACTATTTTTGTTTCTGCTTTGACAGTTCTGATTCTAACTCGGTCTTTTACAATCTACACAAAAAAGTATTCTAGCCAAACATTTTAGCATAAACACAGGGTGCGATGAGTAAATTGCCGCCATATTATATTTTTAATTTCGCGCATGCCTGTTGTTTGTTTTTGATTTTGTCGTCTGCACTGTATAGAAGAGTCAGTTGGGCACTGTCTGTGAGAAAAAAGACCACCATGATGCAATTCACTCTGCCAGAAATTTGGAAGCGGCATGCTTGGCATTCACGCCGGAAGCTCCAAGATCATATCAGAATATTTCGGTGTAAATCAGAGAAGAGTGCAGATGATTCGGAAAGAGTTGGATGAGTCTAATTGGGATTACGAAGGTACGGTAGCTTGGAAAACTCACTCTGATCTCTCTGATAAGAAAAGAACTCCCGAATTTGCTGGTGAGGACCTTGAGAAGGTGGTACTGCCATAGGTCAAAAGGATGGCTGCTGGAAGTCCCTATATCTGACAACAAGACACTGCACCATGCCTCACAAGCAGGAGAACCCAGTCATGGCAGTCAGACAATTTCTCCCCTTACATCTGGCCACCTAACTCCCCAAACTGCAACCCGCTTGATTGTCATGTGTGTAACACCAAAGATGTACTGAAGGCAAGGATTATGGCAGCATTCACCAACTTAAACAAAGGAGACCGTCCAGAAGAATTGCGGAGATTCCGAAGCCGTATTTGAAGTCAATGGCAAATGAGATCTTTCTTTCTTTCGTTCTTTCTTTCTTTCTTTCTCTTTTTATTTATTTATTTATTTGTTTATTTTCCAAACACTTAGCAAAAGATACAATCCGAATATATATCCTTATATATTATGTTCCTTCCGGGAGTCGGCACTGATTCCTCACCACATCTTTCTATCTTTTGACCCAATACTTTCGCAATTTTCTATTTAATATCGTTATAAATATTTATTAATGTCGTTACACACACACACAGAGACATCCATATATATATATATATATATATATATATATATATATATATATATATATGTCTATATTTTTTAGATAAGGTATTAAATACACCATTTACATTATTCGGACTATTTTACTCATCTTTATCTTCATATTTATTACAAAGTTTCGGCCGTTGTACGCTCCGGCCTTCTTCAGGAGGTTGGAATGTCGAACTGAACCCTTTGATTTACACGTCTATTAATTCATTTCCCAGAATAATACTTGATTAGACTGGGACGAAACCGGTTGTTTTTAGCTATTAAATTTACACTGATATGCCTTGTAAATTACGCCATTATTAAGTTTTCTACAACAAAACTTGTTTATATATATACTCTCTCTCTCACACACACACACACACACATATATATATATATATATATATATATATATATATATATATATATATATATATATATAATCATTTGTTCGAAAATTATAACATAAAATATTATAAAATCACTACAAAAATAGCCATTTTGTTTCTTATAAACTGATGGTTTTGAATGTAGAATAAAGAGTTTTTATTCTACATTCAATGCCATCACTTGATAAGACACCAGAAGTGTTGAAACAAAATGTCTACTTTTGTAGTGGTTTTATAACATTTTTATGTTATAATTTTCGAATAAATGATTATATTATATATATATATATATATATATATATATATATATATATATATATATATATATATATATATATATATATGATGACAATGTGTCTTTGAATTATGCTATATTTAATGGATTAATTTGCTCAATATAGGAGATAGATCATATGTTAATATAAACTATGCTCTATCCCTGATAAAGAGCTTTTTAACTCATAAATATATCTGTTAAAATGAAATGTCAGTTTTATTTTTATTTTGGCATAGTTTAGACGA